AAGAAGAATTTGACTTATATTCCAGTAATTCTGAGGTCTCTCATATTAAAGGCCATTTTCTCAATTATTTAACTTTGAACAACAAAGTGCCACTTTAAGAAAAGAGGATAAGATGATCTCACGCAACACTTATTTTTGTTTTTAAGTTCACCTTGACAGCGAAAAAGAAGATAAAGATATTAAAAACAGATTTAGTAATTATTCTTGAGGTGTGACTTCATTGCAAATGCTGGAGTTGAACATTTTTAGAAAGCCACAATTCATAGACTAAAGTGGTTTCAAATAAGCCCTTTAAAGAGCATTGGTAAAAGCAATATAGTAAGTAATTAACACGTGGAGCTCATCAGCACAGAATGAGAATTCCTGCTTGGGATCCAGTGTGCAGCATCAGCAGATTTCTCAGCAGTGTGCTGTAAACAGCATTCAGAGGACCGACGACGCCCTCTGCATTAGATAATTACAGAGCAGATGCAGTGAACACAGACGCTGAATTTAAAGATGCATACAGAAAGTTTTAATAAAATTGCTTCATGGAATATGGGGGTGGAAGAGGTCATCTTTATAAGTAAAAAATATTTAAAATAAAATGAGATTTTGAAATATGTATGTGTAACAACAGAGTAAATACCTTAAGAGTACATATTATAATCTATTATCCACATGTGCATTTAGGTTGACTAAAGACTTTGGCTGAGAATTTTTCATTACAAAAATGAAGATGGCTTTGTAACAAGGTCACCTTATGTTAGAGCATGTGCACTTTTTATTAATGCGATAATGTGATTAATGATTTTCTCCCTAACTACATGGTATGCTCCACAAGAGCACAGCCCCTCTCTATTTCTGCTCCATTGAGTGTCTCTGGCATTTTGTATAAGATAGAATATTGAATGCATTCATTGTTTAATATATAAGATTAAAATACTACTTATTTACATAATTGCATGACCTGGAAAACACTAGAAAAACTAAAATAGAAACTTTAATAATAATAAAAAACATTTTAATGAAAGATAAAATGTATTAATACCTTTTGCCCTACTGTTAATCAAGATGAGAAGAATTTTCTCCACTCATTATACATATAAAAAGCCTTAGTTCTTTTCTTTTTTTCTGTTTAGGAAATCAGTGGTTCATATTTATGCAATAATACTTCATCCATTACTGGGAGATTCCAAGTTGAAAAAAAGCCACTCTTATTAGAGTTAGACCTTATGATGAAAAATATTAAAAGAAATGCTACTTATTGAGCACTTATAGTCATTATTTCAGTTAGTTGTACAACAATCTCATGCATTTGCCGTTATCTCTATTTAACAGCAAGGGGAACTGACGCTTGTCGAGCTTAACAACCAACCATTACCACTGGTCACAGACGTAATAAGATCCTTACATTCAGCATCTCATTCAATTCCCAAGACTGTTTTATGACTATTATCATCTCTATTTTACATTTTAGAAGATGGAGGAAAACAGTGGATTAAAAAAAAAAAAACTAGAAAGTGAGTGTGAGGATTGGAGCCTAGGCCGCCTGTCCCAGAATCCCCCTCAATAACCACTGTACTATCTATTCCACATCACGAGGTTGGGAGGAGACAACAAGGACTTGCAAAACAGATTTATTTTGGGTATGAAGTATGTGCTATGAAGTGAGGTCATTTCTACTTTTTTTTCTTGCCTTCCCAGTTGTTTTTCCCCTGCACTGCACAATAAACTGGTCACCATTTTAGTAGTTTCCTTGTTCATTTTGTTAACATCTATTCATTGAATCTTTAAAGAAGACATTTAGTTACTGCAATTGGTATATGTGAGTTGGTTGCATAATAGGAAGGAAACAAGCCAGCACTAAAGATTTCATTTCTAAAGAAGGATTTTAAAGCAGATTAAGAGTCATTTGACAGAGTGGGTCATGAAACTCGAGTCTCCCTATACTCTTTCATTGCTATGACGACAGGCTGCTCCTGCTACATGTAGCCAGAAAAAGCAGCTGACATTTCAATGACAGGAACATAGGGGAGAGGTCTGCAAAAACAAAAAAACAAAAAACAAATCCTCTCATTTGAATTTCAGTTAGAGAGGAAAAATGCCCTCTAGAGCAAGTCCAAACCCCTACTGTTTCCTTTAGAAAATATAAGAAAGGAGAACTGCTGGGGGCCTTCTCCCCTGTCCAAGTAGTCCGAGAAAAGAGAACTGACTGCAAAGCACCATTTCTTCTCATTTTCCTCAAGGACAATCTGAAACAGAAAGTTCTCTAGTTTCATTGGACTTGGCAACTAATTGACAAAGCATACTCACAGTAATAAATACTTTATGTTGAGGTTCCCGGAGGAATACAGTAGTGTCAGATTTATTTTTTCAGTTCTTTGGATAAAAAAAGATAATTAATTTAAAGAATATTTCCTTCCTGATGCCCAATTTTACCACCCAAAAAATCATTCCGAGTGCATAACCAAACATTTTCTCATTGTGTTTTTAGGACTCTGCCAGGTGCTATACTTAGCATTAAAGAAAAACAAACTCATTTAATTTCTACGACAACCCCATTTGTGGGTAATATTGTCATCATTTGCTTAATAAATGGGTGAACTGAGTCCTGGAGGTGTGATGTAATGGCCCTAGCTCACACAGTCTGTAAGAGGTAGGGTCAGGATTCAAATACAAGTGTGTTAGACTCTGTAACCCAGACTCTGTCCTCTCTGCTGTGCTGACTGAGGCAGAGACCTGGAGTTGACATCTGATTATACAGCAAAGGTGCAAGTATAAGGAAGAAACCCTGAGAGAATGTACCTGGAGTACATTCCCTTCTACAGAGTTCCAATCAGGACATATTGGTAGGCTGGTGCTTTAACATTACCGATGATCGATTGATTACTTCCTATACCAGTCATAGCTGTTTTTTCCACTTAATTTTCACAATACCTCTCTGCTGTAGCAGCCAATTTTATGATCCTCATTTCCAACAAATGAGGAAACTGAGGCTTAAAGAGTCATTTTCCAGAGTCTGTGAAGTGCAGATGTAAATCAGGTCTCTATGCTTCCAGAAACCACTATCTTATTCACTTTATTGTACCATTTTCCTACAGTTGCTATGTTCACCAGAATTCTGTGTACCTTTTGATGCCCAGAACAAAAACCACACTAGCCCCAGGTGGACCACCACTACAGGCTCAGCTCTTGGGGTAAGATGTACGTAGAGCCTGCATGAACAAAACCCCGAGCTAGCTGGGTATCTCTTGAGCAGCCAGGACTACTGGGGAAATCCCCCTGGGTTTATTGGACTCCCTTCTCCTTCACTAAAGGTTGTTGCAGAACAATGTGTGAATGAAAAGGCCACCTGAAGTTTTTTTAACAACAGTTGTTTCTGTCCTTGGTGGAAAAAGATCGACAACATGTTCTGGACGTCCTACTGAACTTCACTAAAACAGCAGTGTTTGTGTACTCTTAAAAGTCAACTGAATAAAAATAACAAGCAGTCAAGAGGAGAATAAAATAAATAATGTTTGGAGTTGTCCAGATGTATCACTATTCATTTTATTTTGTCATCATCTTTTATTTTCTTTACTTAGTTGATATGTGAAACTGTGCATGAGAAACTATTGGTACTAGATCCCAAAGGACCTGGAAGAGAAACCCAGTGCTCTAATTGCTAAATGGCTGCATAGAATTTCCTGAAAGAAAAAAGGCAAGATTTATTAATAACAGGTACATATTCTTTTCCAAAATGTGGAAAGCAGCATTAGTTGATTGGATGATAAGCAGCTGACACAGATGGCTTGGCTTTGCTAGATCTCATTGAATGAACAGAAATATGTACTTAAATCTTTCCTAAGATGGGTGTCCTATTTTTGTAAATAGTCATAGTTAACAATGGTCATAACTCTCAAGGTTTAGCTGAATTATCTGTGAACTGAAAAAAAAACCTGGTATCTGTGAGAAATGGGTGATTTTTAAAAAAAGATTTCTGCTGAGTGGAACCAAGTGAACATTTCTATTCGGTGTACTTAGGCCCTGGGCCAGACAAGAGCTCAAATACAGTGCCAAGGTGACACATTTAACCTCCTGGCAGCTTAAAAGCTGTGTCAAAAAGATACCCTTTCTGCAGTACCTCCTGGTTATCATATCAACAGTATCAAGCTGCAGTAGAAAGCATGGTTTCTCCTGCACCGTGACCTCTGATACCTGGAGGGATGAGCAGGCATGACTTGCATTATTTATTTTATTTTATTTTAGAAGGTAGAGCCACAAATGATAGTGCCTTACAGTATGAGTTATCATAATCTCTTTAGATCTTCCAGTGCCCTCCCTCTTTTCCCCTTCCTAAATAAGACATTATTGGGAATTAGAAATTTTACATACATATATGAACATATTAAAAATGATAGGAGGCAAGAGACTGTCATAAAACTATAAAAGGAACCAGTAAAAAAATAATAGTCACAATAACGAAAGAATAATCAAAGAAGAATATAATATTAGGGATTTTTCTACCTTTTGTAAAAAGGTAGGAACACTTTTTGCAAAGTGTTCCATTTCTGCATTGCTGTTATGAACAGACTGGGACAATGGTGGTGACTGAATAACTTCACGTGATTTAGGCATGCAAAACACACAAATGACCTTGACCTGAAAGTTTTTTGAAACTACTTTCATTATGATTTATTTCATATAATCAATAAAGTACTTTTACAAAACGTAGTCCAGGATTTAGACTTAACCAAGATCTGAATGCAGTTGTAGCTGACAATAGTTCTACATTTGTGTTCTTTCTCTACACTGTCATTTACTATTAAGTACTATTTAATTTTGGAGGAGAAAAGGGAACATGAATACAAGAGTTAAAATTCTCTGTTAAGTATCTTTTCTAAAAATCATACAAAAGGATTTTAAAAAAGTAAATGAATGGTTTAGTATTAGGCAAAAATCTTAGATATATTCATCAGATCATGCACATCAGTTAAGCAAATGAAATTAGGTGATACATTAAACTTATTAAAACTTACCTTCTGGTACGTGGCTGGACCCAGAGCCTTGGCAGAAAATGGAAGTTGAATCCCCCTTTACACACAGCCAGAGAATAAAGTTCGATAAATGCCCAATACTCTTTAAATCTCTTCCCTCGTTAGCTTTGCTTTTTTGCCCAGAAACATTCAAGCCTATCGGAGTTGAAATTCTGCTGCTCTGTCACCTAGTCAGGGTCCGAGGTGACAGACCAGTTTGGAAGTTGGCACTGGGGCGTATTTCAGACTGTCATCGTTTTTGTTGCAGATTCCTGCAGTTCTCTGGCAGGCTGGCCTCTCCCCGAGGGTGCGATGAGTTTTGCGAGCAGTGCAGACCAACCGGGAAAGAGTTAACAGTCTTCCCCTCAAGCTCTTGTTCTCGGGAAGCTCATAAGTTGGCCAGAATATGAGCGCTTGGCTCCTTATGCACTTTTTCTCCTAAACAACTCTAAAAGGTTTTATAAGCCAGATCCCTTTTTAGGGGATTTTTATTTTAAGACTTTGGAAAAAAAAAACAACAACTACATGCAGTCCTTTCTTCCTAAAGGAAATTGGGAGGTGGGAGTAAAGGAAGGGGAGAAGAATTGTAGTGGATGTATTTTCACATTGCTTAATTGGAAACTGTTCTCACAAAGACATTTTGAATTTTAACAAAAGCAGGGTCCTTCAGATACTTAACCTTTCTGTAAATGACTTTCAGAAATATACGTATGTATGAAGCATCACTCCTTCAAATTACAGGTCACTGTATCTGATTCTCAAATATTGCAGTTCACAGACTGTTCTTCCCCCAACACAACCTCCTACTGTAATCCCCTGTGTAATGATTGGTCTGCAGGAAGGAGTTTGTCCATGAAATAGGCTGGAGGCATGCATTTATTTTTGACTTGACATTCTGGTGATTTACATAAGTGTCTGATCTATTCTGCTACTTCTACCTTTACTGCACATTTATCATGCTTCATGCACCATGTTAACACTTTTTATGCATTATTTTAGTTGGTTCTTACAAGTCTACATGAGGTGAGTACTGCTACGATCCCATTTGTGGGAAGTGTAGTATAGTGGTAAACTCTGCACACTTTGAGGCGATGCAGCTAGTGTTTGCATCCTGGCTTAACCATTTCCTAACTGTATGACCTTGGACAAGTTATATAACCTTCCTAAGCTTCAGCAACAGTATCTATAACATGTAGAATACAGGCATAGGGACAATAATAGCATCTATCTCAGGTGGTTGTTCTGAGTTTTGCGTAAATGTCAGTGTATAGAATAATACCTCCTGCCATCCAGCAGACACACATGTTAGCTGTTGTGATTTGCATGAGGAAACTGAAGCTTAGTAAAGCTAAGTAATTTTTCTAGGGTCTCTAGCTGGTCAGCTATAGAGTGGGGTTTCCACCCAGCTACCATGTGATGGCTATGTTGTGGTATTCAATCTTCATGATATAATATCTCTTTCTGAGTGGGCTATGAGCTCATTGAGGTGGAAACTTGACCCCTCTGTATTCTCCATGTGCCTAGCACAGTGCTTTGCATATTGTAAATGTTCCATCACCATGAGATGAATGGTTGTAATGTAAGTTAACTTAGATTTTCTACATCTATGCCAATGTCAGGCCAAAAGCAAACCAATAAAAACAAAAATAAATATAACTCCATCTCTAGGTTCTGGGCACATCTGCTCTCAGACAATTGTCTTCAAGGACTATATTATATGCATTGGCTCTGTGTATTTTTCAGAACACCATGAGAGAAAGGTAACAGGAATTACCTCTCTTTTGCAGTTGGGGAAATGTGGGAGCAGAGGAAACTGGGCAATTTGCCTAGGAGCAGAAAACAAGTCATAGCACAGCTGGGAATTGTCTCAGGTCTTTAGAATCAGGATGACTTGTTTCAAACTGCCTTTCCAGGCACAGGATGAAATGACGTGATGTCCTTTTGCCTCAGACAATGGGATGTTTTTCCTCGGCCAACGTTTAGGGTGTGGACAGTCTCCTCAGAGGAACGATCAAAGGGGTGGCTGTGTTTGACTTTGCTTCTCCTCTGCCTCTGTGCACATGTGGGTCTGAGCAGTGCGGAAGCCCAGGCACCGCTTCTCCGCCAGCTGCTGAGGCCCCAGGGTGGCGGGGCTACTGCAGGCTGAGCAGGGCACGCGTTTCTCAAGACTTGCCCAGTTAGCTAAGGGAAATGTCCTCTGGGACCCCAAACGTTAACTTTTTATTCTGACACCATTCCCCATCCACTTAAAATAATTGTATGAGATTTATTTCAGGTGATTACATTGATTCAATGAGAGTGTAGAGAAAGTTTTAGCTGGAGGGTGATGGAAAAAAGATTTAACCACCAAAAATGTTTTTTCTAGTTTTGAAGTTGATATTTTATGTTTCTATAAAATGAACAAAATGAAATTTCTTACAAAAATCTATGTTAACATGAAAAATAATTTGTTTAAAGTAAGTTGGACTTATTTCTTAAGTATAAATATGTACCCAGAGGGTTCATTTGCAGGTGGCAAAGCTTGAGAATTTTGACTCTTATAGTGGATGTTTTCTCTAGGTGTTATTAATCTGTGACCTAGTAAAATGTCATAGATTTCTTTCCTTTTTTCTTTTTATATATTTATTTTCTTTTCCAGTATTATAAATAGAAAGTAGAGGATTTTTGAAAAAAATAAAAGGACCTTGAATCCATAATGTCTTTTAAGTATGGCTTTATTTTGGGAATGTTGGTGGGCAAATATCCAAACTCTTATTGTTTCTGCAGCTGCCATTTATAAAATACAGCTCATGAAGCTGAGGACAATAAACCTACAGCAATACCCACTTAACAGATGGAGCTGTAGCTCAGATTTAGAAGCTTATCCAGTGTCTAAATGTGATGGGAGAACTTTGGCTAATAAAGAGCTTATTGTATTATTGAATATGAACTGCATAACATGAACACTGCAGGGAAAGGGTTTAACAAAAGCCAGTGTCAAAGCTTAAGTGTTTTTTAACCTTCTAAGTGCTAGGTGTCCCTTTGAGAGTTTGATGAAAGCTGTGGACAATCTCTTAATGTCCACCTATGAACTCCTGCACTTGGGTTCCATGAATTTAAGAACTGATTCAAATAAAGGTTTAGAGAACTTATAAATCAATCCTCAAGCATTGGATGAGATTTTTTAATACATAGTATAAGTTTCTGGGTGGTATGGAAGGAATATCATCGTTCCCGCCTCATAGGAGTCTAAGGGACACGACATACACTCATTGTCAGAAGCGGGCATGGTTCCCTTGGGACAGTGGAAGTGAGTACGGATGAAGGAAAACTGTGTGAAAATAGTGTCAATAGTTATCTTGGCTAGGACCTGGCCTGGAGGGCCCTCCTCCTCACTTATACCATGTGTTTGTTTGCTAGGGCTACCATAACAAAATACCACACACCGGGTGACTTACATAACAAATTTATTTTCCACTAATAATTCTAGAGGCTAGAAGTCCAGGATCAGGTAGCTCTCCTAGGCTTGCAGATGGCCGTCTACTCACACTGTGTCCTTACCTGGCCTTTACTCTGAGCTCATGCACCTCTGGTGTCTCTTCCTATAAGAACACAAATCCTATTGGATTCGTGCTTGATCCTATGCACTAATTCGACCTTAACTACATTTTCAAAGGTTCTCTCTCCAAATTCAGTCACAATGGGAGTTATGACTTTAACATATGAACTTTGTGGGGGGACCCAATTCAGGTCACCTGTAGGATCCTCCTCCTGGCTTACACTGTGTGTTCGTTTGCTAGGGCTGCCGTAACAAAGTACCACAGATTGGATGCCTTAAGCAACAGGAATTTTTCTCACAGTTCTGGAAGTTTGAAGTCCAATATCAAGATGTTGGCAGAGTTGGTTTCTTCTGAGGCCTCTCCCCTTGGTTCGCAAATGACTGTCTTCTTCATGTCTTCACATGGTCTTTTTTCAATGTGGGTCTGTGTCCTCAGCTCCTCTAAGAACATCAGTTACATTCAATAACTTCATTTTACCTTAATTACTTTAAAGGTCCTATGGTGGGGGCAACCTTGCCCGCGAGTGTCCCTCCCCCCCCCGCATCCGCCACAGATGAAAGTGAAACTACCAAGACGTGATCTACTTGGGGAGGAGAGGTGGCCAATCTCTCAGAGGAGAAAGACTGAGAACCTCTTCTTCAACAGCTTTTATTGGGTTGTAATACACAGGAATACAGGGTGGCAAGGATCAAACAGTAGGTAACATTTCAAAAAAATCTGAGGGCTTAGTCTGAGTCAGTGTCTGTCAGGAAAGGGGGTTTGCAGAAACTTTGGGAGACATACTCATTTCCTGCTTGGACCCTTATCATATGAATGAAACCACTCTTAGCAAAACAGGCTTCACAGGACTTTTAGGAAATCTTTCTTATGTCTGATCACCCCAGATCCCGCTCTAGCTGGCAAGGGGCTGCACCACCTTCCCCCATCATATATTTTCAGGCTTAAGTGGATTAGAGCCAGGAAGCGCTTCTCCCAGAGGACAGGGGGGACTTGGGCTATGTCAGAATAGCCGAGGGGTGAGGGTCCATCACTTCCTCTTTGTTGCAGCCCCCTGAGTCCTTCCTTGAGGGCCTCCCAAGTGATCATGTCTGGCTTAGGTTGCCCCTCCTCTGAGGAGGTCGTACCTGTCATTGACTAACTGACCAAGCATTGGGAAGCAGTGTTACTGCCAGAGACAAGCTTTGTCTCCTTAGTGTCTCACAGTCCAGAGGCTCCTCACTCAGCCTTAGCCATGGGGGGGGGGCAGTTACAACTCCTGAAACCAGGCAGAGCAGTTCCCAACAGTCCTATCTTCAAATATGGTCATATTCTGAGATACTGAGGGTTAGGTCTTTAACATGAATTTTGGGGGAACACAATTCAGTCCATAACAGGAATCATTCTTTCTTTTCCTGGAAGGATAAGACACATTTGTAACCATATAAAATTTGGGAAGTCTGATGGCCTTTATCTCATTCTGTCTTTCCTCCTTTCAGTCCAGCGTAGAAGTATTTCTGCTGATATAACCTTCTCAAGAAACTTTTGGGTCACCTGTGTACTCTATGAGGGTCTAAGTAATCAGACAAGAGGATCCTCCACAGCGGTTTCCTGGATAAATTCACCTGTGTTCCTGGCATCACTGAGAAGGTTGATAGTACCCATGGGTCACATTCACGTATTGCTAATCTCTGTAGCAATACCCTTGATGTTCCTTCCAGAATGTGCTCTCCATTTTTTTGCCGTTTGGAGCCTGAGAATTTTCAGAATTATTAAGTTCTGGTTCCTTTTTTGCTTAGTAGTTTCTCCCTCCATTTATCTCTTTCCTGTCATATTTTACTATAAGAAGCAAAGGAAAACCAAGATCTCTCTTCCATACTTTGTTTGGAAATCTTCTCAGCTCAGTATTCAAGTTCAT